CTGAAAATAATGATGACCAATCAAATTCTTCGACAGCGGCATGTGGCAAGAACCCAGCAATGCTTTTTACATTCTTCATGCTACAGGTAGACTAGAGTCTCCCCCTTCATAAATAGCAAAGCTTTTCCTGATAACATGTGAAACTTAACAGAATTAGAGTCTCAGGGACTTACTCTAACATCAAGCCCATATTTGTCAGAAAGCGCTTCCTGTCCAGTGTCAAAGATGGAGATCCTAGGGATGTGTGGTGACATCAACATTGCTCATCCCATCATGATGTACAACTGAAGAAAGTAAAAGGTTAGTTCTTAAATGAACTTCTTTCAGAAGTGATTAACTTCATCGGAAAGATATTAAAGGATAATAACGTGTAATTAAAGAGCCTTCCTGGAAGCATATCTAAGAAAAGGCAATTATATCTCATATTTTCACATACTAGTAAAACCTGGCACTTGCTACCAAAATAGGCAGGAATGAACATTGTCAGCTCAGCTTTTGGATGGTTTTATTTCCATTTCATGCCACCACTGACTTTGGGTTGAGGCAAATGAAACTAGAGACTAGAACAGGGAGTCAGGCTCTCAGTCTACTGAGGATGATGGAGTTAAGAATAGGAACCAAGCAAGCACCAAGTTTCCATCTTCTCTCCTACTTTCCTAGCCTTATAGAAAGCTCTTTTTCACAACCTAAGGGTTCACCCTGGGCTCTATCATTTACTGGTGTTTAAAAAAGAAAAAGAATACCACACGCTGGTATACATGCCATGTATTGATTCTAAGAACTTTTATTTTACATGTTTTTTATTAACAAGGAATATGACACTTGCCTCCAAACATGAATGTCATTTGGTAGAGGTAAATGTGTGCCAGCACACAGTAAAATACCAGAACAGAAATAAGAAGACCTTGGAGCTGCTTAAACCAAGAAGACCTATCACTCAGAGCGTCTTGGAATCTCTACCTTCTATGAAACTAGAACCATTTTATAAAATGCTATATGAATCTTGGAGACAATCATTATAGTAGTAATTCAGTGTCACTCTGAAGGATATCCTGTCCTCATTTACCCTGCATGACTGACTTAAATGAATCCATTAAACATCATTGCTTAAGTAACAGTCTGGTCTTTGGCGAAAGATAGATTATAAGTTGCTGAAATAAAGACCTGCAAGTCTCCTCTCCTCTCAGAAACATCTACATTAAGTCACAATAGATGCCTGAAATAGTGAAAGGAAATTCCATGAAAATACTAAAGTTCTTCCCTAATGTGTTCAGTCAATTTTAATCACCAGTTGTCTTGCATATTTTTCAATTGTTCCCTTCCAAAGGCTAAAAATGTCTTGTATTTTACATACTGTAGCATTCTGGCTTGTCACACATATAGGCAAATTGTTGTTTAAAAGCTGCAGCGTTTAAAGTGAAATAAAACTTATGCTTACAGTGGGAAATATTCCTGGATTAACAGAGTTGCAGCAGATATACTCCAAAAATTGACTGAAGTCTGTGATTGATATTAGAAAGACAGAAAATTTATCTAGTTCTAGCAAATGTCAAATCAGCAGCCATTGCTTTTAAGATTAATAAAAGATATAATGGTTTCTAGATAGCCTCTAAATAGAGATTACGATGAATGGAGAAGTGATTTACCAACAGTCACCACAATGAGATTTCTTTAAAGGTTACAATCATCAGTTATTTAGCTAAAACACTGCTGAGAATGCCTGGTCATTTTTTGAATAATGCATAACGTTCATTGTAGATTTGATCTGTATTATAACAATAGAGATATTTCTAAAATAATAGGAAAAACTATCTGTTACCTTCCAATTGCTTAACATATCACTTCCATGAAGTAACTGACTCAGGACATATTATACACTGTCACCTGAGTGTTCCTTCTGCAAGCATAACTTGTAATAATCTGTACACAATTGGCATCACAAAACAAACTCATCAAACTTTATAGACTTTAAGAAAAGATGTAATGAACACAGGGCAGAATAAAGGACCTTTCTGAAGCAGTAAGTTAAAATGATTAAATTTCTATATAGTTGTTTGGGACAAATTTAAGTTTTGAAATTTAATTATTAACGTGAACAACTCATCGCATTAAAAAGAAATGTTGCCTACACTGTAGAAGTACTTTTCATATAAATTTCCAAATGCCTTTAGGTTTATTCAAGAGACTGCTTGGAGAAGCACGAAGCATAATGTCTATCGTTTTATTGTTGGATTATGAACTGGACTTCACATGATGCTGCAGGCTATTTACATAAGCTTGTTTATCCATATGAACTCCTTCAAGGGCACAACACAGAAGACCTTAATAAATTAAAATGAATTTCTTCTGATGTTGTTTCATGAATGTTTGATCAGAATGAGTAGCAGGTTTGCATCAGAACTAGAGCAAACCAATAAAAAATACATATATCGTGCAGCAGAAGCAGCTTATAGAAAGTGCCCATTGCATTCCTAGCAACATTTGAGAGCCAAGGTAAACAGTATAGAGTCTCTATACTTCAGTACAGTATGCTCTTCAGTTCTAGACTATCATCAGTTTCCTAATAGAGAGAATATGCATGTGCCAAATTGGATGTTCTACCATAGTCTGGATAAAATTTTTTAAGTAATAAAATCTGGCATCTCTTTCCAGGCTTCAAAACATCCATCCCAACCTCCACATTTTTCTCACTGACACCACCATGTTCCTCCAAAGACTGAAACACCCTTATGGGCAGAGATCATATTTTATCTTGTTTTTATCCATCTTCATCATTAGTAGTTACAGAGTTGAGTTGTCTGAAGGTCACAAAATAAAAATGAATTATTAGCCATAGTCCAAAGCTGAGAGCATTCTCACCTGGAATGTTTGATGATAGTGATAAAAATCAAATATCATTGCTAGAAATGATATCTGATAGAAAGAACCCTAGACAGAAAAGCAGAACCACGGGATTCTAGTTTTAGATCTTCTAACACTTAACCATAAACCCTTTCTACATCATTTCCCTCGCCTGTAAAATGAGGGCTTAGTTCTATCGTATCTATAATTGTGCACCTCTAAAAGGCCATGATTCTAAAAGCAAGCAGAATTATCACATCATAGAAGAACGGACAGATCATGGAACCATTAGGTTGTTCTACTTTGGCAGCCGCCACTACCAAGGAAGCCTATAAACTGCCAACTCCCTTAAAGAAAAGATGGAAATAAAAGATAATTATGTTAAAAAAGTTAATATAAGTCTAGTCCCTCAATGTATTTCAAATTGAATAATAAGATTAAGAATATATTTTGCATGTTGTGTGATTTCTAACCTGCTGTATTTATCCATTCATCTTACATGATGTGGAATAAACACAAAGACAACCTACTGAATAAACTCTTAAGTATTTACTAGGATTATATTCACGTCTTTAGCTTGGGAAAATTCACCACTACTTTAGCATCTGCAACATGGACTGGTGTATTACCAAGTTGACATCAACATTCTTAAGGGCAGAAGGGCTGTAAAAGAACAGCATGAATGTGCCTTGGTTTATTTGTACTGTGCTACCTTATACTTACACCCTGCCCTTGAGAGCTATCTCTGTTGTACATTCTTCTCAACCTTCAAATGTCATTCTTATACTTAGAGCAGGAGTCTGTGAACTCTGGCTTGTGGGCCAAATTTGGTGGCAGCTGCCTGCTCTGTAAGTACAGTTTTATTAGAACACAGCCATACCCTGTTGTTTACATGCTATCTACGGTTGATTTCATGCTACAATGGCAGAGTTGAGTACTCCCCCAAAACTAAAATATTTACTCTATGGCCTTTACATAAAATGTTTCCCAACCCCTGCTCTAGAGAAAAATAACCTGTTACAATTTGAATTCTAATTTTCTTTCTCTAATAAGCCTAAGAAACACAATCTCTAAGTAACAAGAGCAAAGATACAAACAGATTCACACAGGTACATACATACATATGATTATACCTCTTAGCACAGAATTGTCAATAGTCACTGCTTTTGACCCTTCGTTTCAATTTGAATCCTATAATAGGTTATAGCTCCCCCCAGTACCCTTCCCTACAACAGCCAAGAGTACAGGGACTTCATAAGTCATTGTCAAGGTGTAATCACATAACTAAAGAATCTAATTCCTCCCCCAGAGGAGGCTGCCTACAATTCCACCAAATGTCCAATTTTATTCCATGCTCATCAAGGGCCTAGATACAAGGTTAAAGCACAAAACCCAGCAGATCCCATCCCATGCCTTCAATGATACATTTTCAAGACAGAAAATCAATGGCCAACACCACATGTACATCAATAAACATATGCATGCATATTCATAGGTTTAAAATCTCATCAATTATTAGGCGTTTCAAGAACAAACAAGAAAATAACCCTCTTAAGTATGAGAGTGAAGAAGTCCTAAAATTTCTAAGTAATAAGTTTTAAGGGAAACTGCACCAATGATTGGGGGCACAAATACATGTTTATATTTATAAATTTTATGCAATATGCATAGAGTTGAAACATTAATACATACATTGATCATTTTGTTGGTCAATGAAATCATTACTCAAAATGCCTGCTATAGTTGTACTTTGCCCCCATCCTCTCTTTCATAACTAAAAACCAGAAAATATCAGCCCTACCCTTTAACAAATATTCTCATACTCCACCCCTTAATAATAATTTGCATGTTTTAGCATAACATAAATTAAACCCAAGAAGCATATTAACGTTAAGTCATTTCATTCTCATTTCCCTGAAACCTTATCTATAGTGATAGAATATTTAGGCTGACAGACTTTTTGAAAATAAAATAGAAATAGAAGAGGTTTATTTCACCTTCACATGGTGTCTTTCTCATGCAGAGTTCAGATTTCCACATTTGTATCCCTTTAAAGGATTTGATATGCAGGAAAAGAAGAAAGGATGATGGTAAACATTTCATCTTAGAGACACCTACAGACCACCATATTTCAGGATGAACAGTGGCTGAAACCTTACCTTTTACTGACGTGTTAGGTGGAGGGCCTTCCATTCGCAAGTTCCATGGAGGGTCCCCCTGGTTAGCAAAGTCTCTCATTTTCAGATAGCTAATTGTAAGTCGAATGATGGAGGCCTTGTCAAGCTGGCTAGTGATGGCTGCAGGAAGAGGCAACAACTTGGCCAATTCATAGAACTCAAAGTTTTCTTTCCCCCGGCGGGAGCGAGCAGCATCCCGGGACTTCTCCTTTCTCAATGCTTGTAAACTGGAATCAAAGGAGTGGAAAAGTGTTGTTTAGAACATGTGACTCTGTCATCAAGCATAAACTGCTTTTCTTTTTACTTCTTTTTTCCCCCAGCAAAAATCTACCAAAATCATCTTCAAAATTCCAGGGACATAGTAAAAGGAGTTCCAGACAATGACCTCTAAAACCATAAATTCTACTTCTAGGCTTATATGCCATAAACTCAAGTGCAATGAGTAAAAATAATTTGCTTGTTAAGTTTTTTCCTCCAATCACCTATGCACTGAGATATATTGTTTCTAAGACATAAGGTTTACAGGTGATGCTTGATGTTATCAGCTATGAGCAATTTAAAAGATTGGGATTGTATTTATATATCTATTCTTAAGCTAATGGTTTTGTTCATTTAACGGTTATTACTACGGAATTGTACAGCATCAGAAGGACACATTTGAAAAAATTTATTTCAGTTACCATCTTGAGAAACAAAGGGTAAACACACAGTTCACAGAATTAACAAATAAAATGTTGATGTGCCTCCAGCCCTCAATAAGAACCATGACCTTCAGTCACATAAAGAAAACATCTTATTGGAAATGAAGATTTCAATGTAACTATATAAATGCACTGGTAATTGATTGATAAGAGAATACTTTAATTCTTTATTAATGACCATACATTCATAGATGGATAGACTCTCCAAGATACTAGAGAATAAAATATATCACCCAGAAAAGTCAAACTTTAAGATAACATAAATTTAATGTTGAAAGATAAAGTCCTGTATGGGTTGTTAAAATTTATAAACATTATAGACATATTACTTCACATAAGAGGCAACAGGTGGGATCCAGCATTTTCCTTTAACTATTCATGTACATTTCTGTTTGAAGTTTGCTCACATTGCTGAGGGCAGAATCTAGCGCAACTGAAGTTGTGTGGTGGGCATCTGACAGGAGAAGTGCACCTACTCTGAATTGCTCCGTTTTGTGTCTGATGAAAAATAAATTCAAAATCAGACTGTGATGATAAATAATTGGATAACATTTATAGTATCAAGGTATTATTAACATCATTTGTAAGTATCCATTTAATTGGACTTTGAAGGCATTTTAAATCTTTGAATCTAGCATTCTGGCTTCCCATTACAAAATATCAAGAAAGAGAAATAAGAAGGAAGCAAGACCAGAGGAATAGATTAAAATGAGTCCAGCGGTGTGGCTCCAATCTCTTAATATGAGCAGTAACATTCCCTATTACCTTAGACCACATCTGATATTGTTCATAGTGGAAACACTGTTTTCACTGCAGACATCTCAGGTATCTTATTGAATATCTATGTGATTTAAGTAATGCCATAATGCTATGGTCAAATACTTGCTAGGCTAACACCCCTACCAGTTTCATGTTCACTCTATTAATAAAATATTCTACATTAGCTAACTAATGTATTTCTCAGAACTAGACAAATTAATGCTATCATTTTCAGAGTCAAAGCAGTCACAGGTGACAAACTTTTGTCTTAATGTTGGTGATAAGCAGAAACATCACTAATTTATAAGGAAAACACATGTTATGCCATTTATTTCCCAAAATTTTAGCTGGCCTCCATTCACTTCTTTAAATGCTCAGTGTGGCTTGTTGAAAATTATGTCAATAAAAGTAAGAGATGCCTTACAATCTGATAAAGTATAAGTATACAGGACCCAGGTCAACATCTTAGGATACAACAATGATTCATAGCCCTCCCTCTATATAATAAAAGTAATCTAACACCATTTAAGTCAGTTGTGCCGAAAGAACTATGTCATTTGACATGTTTTCTCTACCACTTGTAGAGTGCAGTGGTTCAAGTTCAATGCTTTGCTCTTTTTGTGTTCTTGTAATCGAATACTACTCCAGAAGGTGGGCTGAACTTACTTTTTTTTTCTTTTCTTTTTGGTCCAGTAAGTGACTATGATGGAGCTGTACAGCAGGGGCTGCAAACTCAAGGGCTTGCAGGGTGAAGGCAGGGAATGTCAATGAGTAAAGGGGCCTGATGCCACCTGTGGAGAAGTGGAGGCTGAAAGCCCAGGCAAAGGAAAGCGCACACCGTTTCAGCTTTGCGTGTGCTGCTTTGGGGGAAGGCATGCCTAGTGTTGCCAGATTTCTGCTGTTGCTATTTCTAGAAAACAAAATCTGAATTTTTACATAGCACTTCCAATTTTATGTTATGTGTTAATTTTATGTTAACTAACTGGCGTTTTTAAAAATCATGCGAGCCAAACAGAACATGCCATTTGGTCAATAATGGAGCAGGGACTCATTTTGCAATTGGGTAATAATTTGGGAGGCCAATTTTGCCAGAAGTTTTACATGGATGTTATATATAATTTTACTTACACATGTCACTTTGTGATCTCAAATGGATTCACTTGTTATCTAATTAATATTACTAATATTCACACTAGGAATTTCTCTATTCAACTGAAGCAAGTAGAGGATTAGTGGGTTATTCTGAAATTGATATCTCTGCATAGGCTTATCAATAATCTAAGGAAAAAAAACTAATCCTAAGGGTAGGCAAAGCCCAAGATCACAGGGATCAACCCAATGAGCTCCAGGGGTGAGGCAGAGGGGAGATGACTCCTTCTGTCTACTCAAAGAAGGGGAATATGTGGACACTAAGGCTTTGGGGTGCCTTGCCTAGACATTGCGCTCTGACACTTGACTTTTCTAAAATACCACTTACTTTGTGTTCCCATACTACCTCCTTGTCATTTTTCTCTTCTCTACCGCTCCCCTCTTTAAAAAACTCTCTAACCCACAACTGTGTTGCCCTACTGGAGTAAGCGTCCTAGCTATAATCTTAATAACAATGGGTTTCCATGACTTCCACATCACATCATTATGCTGACACCATAGTACAGAAGACTTTCCGAATGATAGCACTGTGTCTGTAATAAGTAGTAACTGGTTTTGAGGGCAACAGCGATAAAATACGGTTAAAGGATTATAAAGGTTGTGGAGATGCTGATACAATAGATGAAGCTAAAGTCCTTAAGACAAGGACAGATTGTGGATTGATCTTTTGGCTGCTTTTGTGAAACAGAGCCTAGTTACAAGTAATTCTCAAATTGAATTAAGGACGACATTAAAACCTAAAATAAATTTGCATTTATACATTCTGTTCTAAACCAAAACATTATGGTTGCATTTCTAAATACTAAAGAATGGATTGACTATATGTGAGTGAATGTTATGGCCTGATCTCTGCCACCTAAAATACGATTGAACAGTAAATACTCCTTGGGTCCGAACTTCCCACTGCTTTAATGTTCTTTCACTTGGACTCTGAATAACGGAAAACCCTCCACAAATCAAAATTTCAACTCTCTTTGATGACGACAGTATCATTCTCACTAATAATTACCACCACCGGCAACAAAATCAACAACCATTTCCAAAGACACAGACACACGCACGTATCTGAAAATCATAGGCAAAATTATCTATATATGTGTATATTTTGGGGGTGATGGTAAGTGATTTTCAGATTTTCAAAAGGGGCCCAGCACCCAACCAAAATAATAATAATCTAATGTATAGAATTTCCTCATATAAGGATTATAAAGTTGGATTCTGCCCTCTTTTTGCCATTGATGTTGCTAGAATTATCCTAAAGAAATACCTTGGTTAAAATAATATTATTTTATGTATGTTTCCATTCAACACTTTGAAACAATTTTTACATTCTATAGTTATATCTTTAAAGCATAGCTGACAAGCAATCAAAAAAGATTACTAAGAATGAAGATTTAGCAGTCAGTGCTTGTAAATGTAAAGTGAGTTTTTAAATCTTCCCATCTATTTTAAGTTCCTTTGGCAAGTTGTATATTTTGCGGAAAGAGTCCCAATGAAGGAGTTATGAGACCCACTTTAGCCACTGTAGGCCACTTATAATTCTAAGTCACTAAGTTGAGCCTCAATTTTATCATCTTAGATCATGAGAATGACAAACAAGGAGTATTTGGCAAATCTCCTGGGACCACTGCAATGACTCACATGATAATTTCATGTTAGTATATTGTAGACCACAAAAAAAGTAAACCCCTTGGACAATTCTAAATTTTAACTTATTATTAACCGGGGGATTTTTGTGGAAACTAATGCCTGTGGCCGGCAATTTGTTATGTAAGTGATATTGATACATCTCTGGTCAATAACGTTTGGGTAACAAAAGATGTATTAATACATCTCTGGTCAATAATATGATAACAGTTAAGATAGTTTGTAAGCTCTAAATGTGGTAGAGTCTACTTCAGAGTTTTACAACTAAGAATTTTAATACGTTGGAAAGACTTAAGAATGCTTAAAATATAGTCAACCCTTCCTTAAACTTTCTTGGAAGCACAGGAGTTAGGAGTAGGGGCTCTGTAGCCAGACTGTAGGTATTCACATCATCACACAGTTACTAGCTGGGCTACCTTGGACAGGTGTCTCAACTTCTTTAGGCCTCAGTTTCCTCATCTGGGAAACAGACATTATATTAGTACATACATCACAATATTGCTCAGAGGAGTAATTGAGCTAATATATGTCAAGTGTTAAATGCCCACCATGTTGTAAACGTTATATAAGCATTAACTATTATTACAGTAATTGTAAAACTTCCCTGGGGACAAAAGCCCAACTGTTTTGATCCTAGTACCACATCTGATTATTACCTTATTCCTCCACAATTCTTTGTAATTTTCTTTAACCAGCAGCCTCTTTTTTTTTTTTTTTTTTTTTACTCTGGTTACAGTTTTATAATTCTGCATACTTATTTGTTTTCCTCATTGTCCTCTCAAACTGCCACTTGTGACCTTCATTTTTTAGTAAATTTTATTTCCCATAGAGTGACAGTAGAAATTAAATCAAAGGCCTGACTTCTGCTTGGTGACAACCCTAAACTGCTGATTTCTGAAACTCCTTCCATGTTCTCTCAGCTCACGATTCTCACTTTCTTTAAGTTCTGTCTGCTGCCTCTCTCAGCATGT